TGTTGCAAATCTTGAAGGAAGTTGGTAATAACAAGATGTAAACAGAATATGATAAGTTTTGCAGAGATATTGAACGACAGTAGGTTGATGAGGTGCTTTAAAATATTGAATCTTGTTTTTTTTATTGCATTCAGTTGGGTGCATAGCAAATTGAATAGGTTTAATTTGTTGTAGATTATTTTCTTTAGCCATGGCACCAAAGCGGTCACAATATTTAGCCAAAAAGTAATCTAAATCATATTGATCTGGATCTTGATTAATTAATGTAGACATGATTGCTTTAAAAATGAAAACAAATTTGATATTGGGATTCTTGAGTTCGATAGGATTTCAATGATATAGGGTATGACAAATAAGAGGGGGTGACAAATAAGAGGTGTGACAAACACAGAATATGACAAATAGAAGGGTATCACAAAAAGTATGTGACACTTTGCAGATCAATTTGCAAGTCAAGATTGATGTTAAACAAAAAAATTGTATAAAATTGTAAAAGTACAAATTTGTAATTAATAGATTGTGTAATATTGATTAGTAATCCTGTTTTGGGTGGGTTTGGATGGGGTAGACCAGAGGCAGTCCCCCAAAAAATATAAAAAAAAAATTGCAAAAAATAAAAAAAAAATTTACAAAAGAGTTTAAGCGTATTTTGCCAATAAGTTGATCAGTTTTAAGATGTTTTTGATGAATTTTATATCAAAATGAAGCTATGAATGAGCTCATTCTTTTTGTTCTAATATACAAGCATTGTTTAATTAGTAAATTTTAAGATAACTGAATAAAAGTGTTTTTATATTTAATAAAAATATCTCAGTGAATAAAAGGTTCAGAGATATAAAACTAGGCCGTCTAAGTGTAAAATTATGTTAGGAACAACTTTACTTAGGCATCCAAGAGTAGTTTACTTAATAAAATATTGAATAATAGTCAAATGTTTGCAGCAGAATTTGGTATAAGTGATCGTCGGAAAGAGTTAATGATTTGCATCTATAGTTTCTTTTATCTGCACTATTATGAGAACTTTGTATTTTAATTTTTTAATTCTTACTATTTGAGCATTCTTGAATCTTTTACAGATATATTTTAGTTCTTTTTTGTTAATATCTGTTAGCAAGTTCTATATTATTAAGTATTTTTGTCTTTAGACTTCTTTTTTATTTTATTATAATTTATATTTACTTGATCTTATTTTCTTTTTTATTGTATATCTTTTCTTTAGTTTTTGTTATATTGTTTCTTTTTTTCTGATATTTTTTATTGTATAATCTTTGTTTTTCTTTCTTATTTTTTCTTTTTTTTAGTATTAGTTTATGCTAATCACTCTCTTTTTTATTAATTCTTTGTACTGCTTTATTTTTGACATATTCACAGTCAAAATCTACTTCTATTTATAAGTTTTCTCTTTTAAAGACTTCTTTAATATTTTTAATATATTTATTGTTTTTTAGTAACTATTTAATAAATTTTATATACTCTTCTTTTGGTGTTCTCTGTATATTATGTACTAGTATGTTGCCAAGTAGGCTGTTGTTTTGGTTATAGCTTCTTTTGCTTGGTACCTATATATTTTTTTTAGTGATATTCTGACTATATTAATTTCTTTTTTAATTTTTTAATTTCTTTTTTGTTTTCTATTTTTTTTGTTACATCTTGTTTTATATCTCTTTTTAAAATTGGTTTATTTTATTTTTATTCTTCTTCTTCTGATTATTTTTATGATTTTTTTTCTTAAATAGATAACTGTATTTTTGCTTGTTTGTTATTTAAATAACTTATCTTTATATTTACCTTATTTTGCATAATTTTGATATTTTTTTGTAGTTTTTTACTATTTGGCTTCTTGTTAACTATGTTTTTTATTTGTATTACTCTGTACAGATCTTCTTATTTTCCTATAAATATAGCTTTTTGTTACTGGAATTCTTTTTCTTTTTTTACTATCACCTTTTGTATTTGCTTAACTATATCTAATTTTTTCTTTAGTTATTTTTTCTTAGCTTTTTTTATTATTTTTTTTGTTATTCATAAAAGGGCTACTTTGTTTGAGTCTTGCTTAGTAAGCATTGCTATGTTTCTAACTTTTTTATTTAGCATTGTATATAATTTGCTAGTTTTATTGAAGAAATCTTATTGTACATACTGCTCATTGTCTAGTATACTCTTTTTATATAAATTGCTTTTATATTTTCTCTATATTTTTTAGGCAAACTTTTATTTATTTTTATAATTATTCTTTTCTAGAAATTTCTTTGTTTACTTTGCTTTTGTTTTCTTGTTTATTGTCTGAAGCAAAGCAGAGGACTTATACTTCTAGACAATTTCAATGCACAATCATGCAATGTCTGTCCAAACAAACCAATAAAATTCGTTACATGAGATAATTTTATGCAGAATGCAGATTACGAGTAATGCGTAACTTATACACTTTAAAGTACAGTACTATAAATCTTCAACTAAAAATTCCAAGAGTTTTCTTATGCTTCGGACTTTTAACAGTCTCCATTTTCTAGTTGCTATGTAATAATTTGTTTATTTTTAATTTAGTCATTTATATGTGTTTGTTATTGCTTAGTTTACTATATAATTTCTATATAATATAAGCAGATCTATATTAAGAATCAAGTAGCAATTTCTATAGTTATTGTTTTAGTACTAAAATTTTTTAAAAACTTTTGGTTTTCTTTTTTTAACTGCTTTAATAACACTGTGTTATTTCAAGTTTTTAGATTTGTTTAGTATGTTTTTTGCTACTGCTTTTTTTAACTTAATACTGTTTGGAGAATTTCTTATTGATATTTGTAAAAAAAATCAGTTTTTCTTTCTTGCTAATTTTGCATTTAAGTGATCATCAGAGAGAATTTTCTAAATTCAATCAATACTAATAATATTAATAAATTATTTACATATAGGCTAGGTGCTAAGAAAAGAGATAAAATTGACAATTTTTCAAAAGTTATTTTTTTATATAAATCAATTTAAAATAAGATTATGATTATTTTTTACTTAAGACTCAAAGTAGTTGTATTAATAAAATTTTGCAATATAGCTTCTTGAAGTTTGCATTTTCTTATAATTTATTATAAAATTTATAACAAAAAATTGATTTTTCAAAAATCTTTTTTTTTGTCAATTTTATCACTTTTCTTAACACCTAGCCCATGTATATAGTATTTAATTAAACTTTGTAAAAATCTTAACAATATAACAATAAATTTATTTAAATATATATTTAAATAAGTTTATTTTATACAGTGTAAAATACTATAAATTAACATCTTTTTATATATATTTTACAAAAATTAACATAACAAAAACAAAAAATTTGACTAATTTGTAATTTTAAGTCTAAGTACAATCTTGCTAGAAAAGATTTTTACTTTATTTTAATTTTAAAAAATAACATAATTTAAAATCTACTAAGGAATTAATTTTGACATTTAATATATAAAAAAAAACTTATGTTATTTTTAATTAATCACAATTGATTATACTATATTAGCCAATCAAAAATTAATAACTCAATTATGTAATTTTAAATTTGATGCATTTTACAAAAAAAAAGTGTTACTTTATCTGTTCCACATGATACAAATAATATTAATATATAGATAAATGCTCTAAAAGAAAACAGACTTTAAATTTTCAAAGCTGAATTGATTATTATAGATTAAAGCCTGAAGTACTGTTTTCTTTTAATAGTACTCAAGTACAAACGAAAGATTATCATTTGTTTATTGCTTTTGTACATTTTTATATAAGTCGCATGCTGTGCTTAATAGGCAAACATAAAATATTTTGATTTAACAACGTGGTTCAGTCTTTCCAAAGTCTTAGAGGATTTGATATTCGTTGTGTTTAACATTCTTCAGGGGTTTTAGCTTCACCAGGGCTTCGAAATTTCGCCTGACTTCGCCATTTTCCAAAAATAGTTTCGCCATTTACCAAAATAGTTTCGTCTAACAACAGTAGTTTCGCCAGGTTTCGCCAATTTCGCCAGGTTTCGCCAGTTTCGCCATTTCGTCTTTTTAAATTTTTTTTGGAGAAACCTCTAGGTTTCGCCTAACAACTGTAGTTTAGAGTACTTTTTAAAAAAACGAAAACTAATTATAATGAAATAAAAAAAAATAAAATTGAATAATCATTTTTTGGAATAAATATCATAGGGAGAAGTTTGTCTGATTTGCTAATAAATTTAATTTAATTTTAGATTATTTATACAGTTTAGAGTACTTTTAAAAAAAACGAAAACTAATTATAATGAAATAAAAAAATCTGTATAGAAGGCTTCATTAGAGCTGTAGGACTCCACAGCCAAAAATAAGATCTAATTCTCGTCCATTTAAAACAGTTATTATAGTAATAGCCTCTCAAACCTCAATAAACATCTTAGTACTAAGCTAATTTTTTTGAACGGACGAGAATTAGATCTTTTTTTGACTATGGAGTTTACAGCTCTAATGAAATCTTCTATATGGCGAGTTTTTTTTTCATTATGATTGGTTTTTGTTTTTTTAAAAAGTACTCTAAACTGTATAAATAATGTAAAATTAAATTAAATTTATCAGCCAATTAGACGAACTTCTGCCTATGAGAATAAATATGAAAAAATCTTATAAAGTGTAATTACTGTCTTTGATCGAATTTTACATAATTTAAAGCAAAGATTCAGATCCGAATCCGATTAGATGATAAGTAGTGAACAAATAAATTATGCTTGAAACTTTTTACAATATTACAAGATTTTTATAGTAAATCAAAACAATAATGGCAGAACAATTTAAAACAATCTTTTAAAGACTTAAGAAAGATATAAAGCATCTATAAAAAAAATAATAATAATACATTCGAATGATACGTCTCAGAATTAGCAATCATTTTTTATTTAACAATAAAACTTTATTTAAATAGATAATTTACAGAGATCATTTAAATATATTAAATATATTGATTGTCAAGGCTATAAATCGTAAAGATAATTATTGTGTATCATAATCATACAATTAACATTTTTTGTAAAATAAGAAGGTAGAGTGAGCAGGAATACTGGAAATATGTCCATCAGGAAATTTTCCAACATCTAAAATAATAGATAATAAGTCTTTAGAAAATTATTAAATTAACGTTAATTCAATTGAAAATAAAACATACATTTAGTATTAATGGGTGAATGACCATTAGCAGTCTTAACTGCTTGGAGATAAGTAATATCACTAAATGCACCAGTTCCCTTATGATTCTATTATTATAAATTTAAATAAATTGTCATATAAAATACATAATTAAAATAAAAATCACTAACAAACGTACTGAAGTTTCCATTAAGCCCCAACTATGATCAGCTTCTGGATTAGGTGCTTCAACGGCAGCAAGTACTTTAAAATCAAGAGAAGAAATATCATCCATGAGGAGTGATTTTATGGTACATGTTGGAAAACTTTCACCGACTAAATGTATAATTGGTAGATTAGAATGTTGCAAAGTTTAAGTTTTGAATTATAAGGTGAATACGTACTTTCAGTGCTCATAGTAAAATCATTAACTTTTATTTCAGCTATGTATGAATATGGAGCATTGGCAACATCTTCAGCGCAATTGAAGAGATATCCATCACTGCCAGCTATTGAAAAGTAAAAATACATTTATTATATAAATATGAACGTCTTCATGTTAATCCGAATTTATTTAAGATAGGATAAATACCAAATTTGCAGGTAGGTCCGTCCGCTTCAGTACACCATTTAAAATAAAATAGTGCAGTAGCATGCAATGCGAATTTTAAAACATTTCCAGGAGGAACTTTTATGTCATCTGGAATAACTAAGTCTTTAGGCAATTCTACATATTTATTGTTAAAATTAAATATTAGTGTATATGGATTTTATTTCATAAAATTTTAGATAGATCTATTACCTGTGACGGTACCAATTGTTTGCGACATTTTATGGTATTGAAAGAAGATAATTGATGCGAATACATGAGTAAAGAAGAAAGCAAGCCTATTTATAAAGTTTTGCGATTAGCGATAAAGATAGAAATGAAATTTTAATTTAGGAAATTTGAATTTGTATTGTCAATGATAAATAGTTAATGAAGTTAATGATAATAAATAACCTAATTAATCATTAATTAGCAAGTGTTACATTATGCTCAATATATGCTTAATAAGAGTACGTAACATACTTAAGTCATGACTTATTCACAATCATAATTAAGTTAATTAATTATTCATATTGTAAAGTTATTAACAATATTTAAACCTGACATAATGCATAATTAACAATTTAAAAGAATTAAATATATATAGTGACAATCCAATTATTGTCATGTTATCAAATATTTAACAAACTAGAAACGCATAAATTCAATTCAGAATATTAAAAATCAAAATTTTTACGTATGTATGTGCACATATGTACTGCACAAAGTACATAATAGAATAATAACCAGTAAAGTATAATTATTCAATAAGTCGTACTGTAAAGTAGGACAGGATAAAACTGTTGATACGTAAATCTAAATAAAACATACTACATTACACATAATGTGGAAATTATACGTATAGTATATGAGATTTGCCTTTACAAGAAATTTATTGCATGCCTTTCTCTTAATACTAAAAAAGAAATCAATAATATTCATGCTATATTCGTATTTGGGCAATTTTTAAATTCGACCACAAAAAACGTCTATCATGTATCAACTACTCAATTTAGTTGAATGTTAGTCAGCTTCCTAAAACGATTAATTTAGTCGGTATCGGTATTAATTACTAAATTTAGCGGGTAAATCACATGAAACATTTGGTTCATATAAATAGATTGAGCTTCTGATTGACGATCTCCAAATTTAGTTATTATTAATTAGTATTATCAATTTTTAGCGACGGGCGTAGTGTTATTGGAGGACAATGTAATCAATGATTATACTACGCACGTAAATAACAAAGTTAGAGCAGTATATTGTGAGCCGCAGAACTGTAGTACCTGAAGCACGTGGAGAGTGTTAACCAAAGTGGCGCAGAAATGATCGCATGGATATGTAGATATTTTTACCTAAAATGAGTTTCCCGACTGTATACGCTGTATTCACTGTATACTCTGCATGTCTTTAATGGATTTTAGCGGAGCAAGGAGAATCAGTGAGATCAGGGTATAATTAGTATAAGCAGTATAAACATTATAATCAGTATGCAACTCTCCCGGCGTACCGTGGATAGTTGTGGTTATTGTTTTGTTCAGGTTCGAAGTCCAAGCGGAAGGTCCAAGCCGTGGTTTTGCTACATTGATCATGAATAGAAATTATAAACGCCGATGTGTTACGAAGTTCCCGATACAAGTTGAAGAAAACATACCTATAACCATAATTCCCCATTCGTAGGTCAGACGTCTCCAGGTTTTGAGCGACTGACTTGCCGCTTTACCGGTGTCAATGTGAAAGCCCTTTGATCCCTTCATAGCAAAAATTCTCATACATCATCTAATCAATAAAGTGCTATGCTAAATAACCCATTCATCATTTATACACAAGTCTCGTAAAATCCAATATATACCTCTATAGTTCTCTCCTCAAAACTGATGGTGGCATTGGCAGAATGACAGAGTTATAGGCATTGTCTTACACAAACTGATGAATAATGAAATGATATTTTTAAATATCTAGTAGAATGAGATTCAGCTAAAGAACTTATTAAAATTTTCTGCGTTTCCGAAGGTAATACGTTGTAGCTTATTCAGTTATTGAAATTCATAAACGCAAGGCTTGTTAGTAAAGAGCCCAGCAGCCACTTAATTTTATTATTAATGCGAGTCCTTTGATATTCATAGACATTCGTTAGTGACCTCTATCTAATTAGTGTCATACAGTATGAGCATAGGGCAAGAACAAACTCTTGAATTATTCATATTTTAATCAATAAAAGATGAATTTTTTCGTATTTCATTGCACAATACTTTTTATTTGAATGTAGGTTCCGAATATTTTCTTAGCACATCAATTGATTCTCTAGCAGTTGATCTATTTTGAGGTTTAACAGTTAAGAATTTATTCATTAAATCCAAAAGTAACTGGGGAACATCAACAATTAATCGGTTATGTTAAAAAAAATATTTTCATCGTTAATCGTCAAAGCTGTAGCTAGAAATATTACAAGTTCAATGTGGTCCGAAGTCGAATATTTCACAAGGTTCGGTCTAAAATCAAGTGTGAGACTCGATTCGCATTTGATCGAGTATTTTATAATTAAAGTACAGTGCTGCAAAATCTAAAATAAATATCTTAAGTATGAAAATTTTGGACTCAGTCTAAGTCGCCTCAAAAAAGCTTGGACTAAAAACCGCTCGGACCGAATTTTAGCATCCCTAAGGTAGTTGAAACGAAAGAATTTGAAGATCATGTCTAAATTTAATTTATATCCTTGTGACTATAAATCTTGATTAAAACTTGAATCTGCAGAATTCAATGATCGTTTCTAGATTTTTAATATATCCATGCGACTATGAATTTTGATCAAGACTTGAATCTGCAATATGATGTGATCGCTTTATTTAAATAAACTACGGTAGAATTTAAAACGATGCAGAATGAAGTGAGACAAACTATAAAAAAGATTTAAAGCTGTACTTGAAATAAACCAAAGAAGAGCAATACTAAGCATTAAAAAAAAAGAATGTAAAGGCAAATTTCCGGATTATTAAGATTAAAACGATAATGGATTAGCAAATGGACTAAGCGGATGAGTTGAATGTATATCCGAATTACCTAGATATTCTCATAACGTTTTGGCGATATTATTGAGATATCCTCAAGCATTCCTATTACTGTGATTTGCTAGTAACCGTAGTGATGCCCAATTGCTGCTGTAGATCGAAATAAAGACCTCTTGAGTAGATTTTAAACGGTTTATAAAAACAAAAATAGCAATACGTTAGTGTGTCGATAACAAGAGCGTAATAAAAAGTACAAAGATGCTTAACAGTACTTCATTTACTTTAATAGTTATTAAGGTTTGAGAAGCCAGTGCAAAAAAGGGTAGTTCTGGGCAAAAAATTTTTTGACTAAAATGATAAACTCACTGATCATATTTCATTATTTAAAATTTTCTCTGATGCAATGAACCACGTGTTCTATACCTCATTCATCTTAATAACATGCACGTTGTTTGTTAAAAATACTTTCCGTTAATGAAAACTTAATAATTCCCGACACACTTCTGACACATTTTGACTCATTGATTGAGGCACATGAGAACGTCTCAAAACAGATATGAATGAATAGCTGATACGAAACCATATAGTTAACGAAAATGAATACTGGATAAGTAGATTGTTTGTTCATAAGTGCTAGATGGATATTCTGATTATTTGGAGCCAAACATTGAACTTTGAAATCAAAAATATGCACATTAGTTAAACAATTAATCATATAGAATTTAAAACCGATTAACGATAATATAGTTTTAATCGTATAACAAAATAAATAAATAGCAATTTGTTGTCAAAAGGATAACGGTCCAATCATTAGGTTATAAATCTTAACAACAATATATTTGTTTTGAGGGACATTTTTAGTAAAGACCTTAGTGTTAGGCGTTGTTTGTATAACTTATTGCTATGAATCATTTCCAGAAATAGAAACAATATATGTACTACTGTCAATTGATAAAACTAAATCAAGCTAACTAGTATTGTATGTGAGTACGGATGTACTTCTCTTCTAAAATTAAAAAAAAAGAAAATCAAAAGAAATAATCACATTTAGCAGCATCAAAATACATTAACAAAATGGGCTATCGAAAAAATGAAATGATTGAAATACCATTTTGCAATAGCAGTGAACAATTATATGAAGAATTGTCAGATTATTTAAAATCTAAACGATCTAAATTTAAAATTACGAATCTTCATGAAATTACAACTCTTCATGAACATGAAGGAATCAAAAGTGCATTCAATGCCGTAAAAATTAATCTATCTCCCAATCATGCCTATATTTTATTGCTTGGCTTATCAGGTTCAGGAAAGTCTTCAACAATTAATTCTTTATTTGATAAAATTATTGCTGTTACTGGAAATGTAATATCTCAAACAAAAGAAACTACCGAATTCAAGGCAGAAATTAATGATTCACGTTTAGGGATCAAAAATCTAGGAATAAGTATCATTGATGGTCCAGGTTTAGAAGACTCAAAAGGGATTGAAGAAGATGCAAAAAATATCTTATGTTACAAACGGTTTTTGGAAACACATCCTCAACTGGCATCAGTCAGGCCAAATGTTATTATGATAGTTGTAAATATTACCGATAATCGTTTTGGTGATTCGGAAAATGTAGAAACACCTTTTGTGAGAATGTTAAAAGGAATTAAATATGGTCTTGCTGAAAAAATTTTAGATCATGAGCGACCATCGGTGATTTTTGTATTGACACATCTTAAAAGCATTCCCCCTAAAAAATCAAAAGAACTTGTATCCACTAAAACAGCATTGATAAAAGAAATGTCTGCCAACATTTTAGGAATCATTGACCCACCTGTTGTCACTATTGAAAATTGTCCAGATGACTGGGAGGTAGAACGTAAAGATGATTGGTATATACTAGACAATGATGAAGAACATCCGCTCAATTTGTTCAATACATTGATTAATATTTGCAAAAATTCGACAGATTATATTGGGCAAGAAGCAATTTCTTTGTATTTTTCCAGTGCTTCTCAAAGTGAGGTTAAAATTGGTCATAAATTTTCTGTAAAAGAATTAAATAAAGACGATGATGATAGCATAAAATCTATAACAACAAAATTATCAGAAATTAAATTAGGTATGGAGAATTCTGGATTAAGACGAATTATAGAAGACAAATTCTCATTATTATCTACGGAAATGCAAAATGAATTAGGTAGTAGAGTACCAGTTGAGATTGCAAGCTTTCTTCAGGCAAATAAAATAACAACGGTTCAGGAAATCCCGAATGGTGATGAATTTTTGGAACTCTATGCAAATTACCCTCGACCTTCTATAAATCTATTAAATTTTCTGAAACAAGCCCTTGATCGGGAAATAACAGAAATCCTTGTTGATCCAGAGGTTGGCAAGTGCTACAATGTCTTCAAAGATAGTACTATTGGCACTTCTGTGTTCCAGATCGGTGACTATGTGATGTCCTCTACAGGTTTTAAAGTCCCTCGCGAAGTTGATATTTACGAAACAAATGGGACTTTAACTCGAAGTGAACAGTTTGAAAATAAGCAAGATTATATCCATAAAAGATTACTCGATCTTGGTTTTTTTATAGACTTACCAATTGCTTATGTAAATTCTAACTTGCATCATGGATATTCAATTGGATCATCGACAAATAATTCAGATCATGAAACGGAACAAACATTTTTAATTGAACGTCAATGTTTTAAGTTTACATTGAATATTGATAAACTTCAGTTGTCTCAAACTTTTAAAGATGATGTAGATAATCTTCCTCCTAAATACGATAAAAATGATGAAAATAATGTTAACATGTGGAAAAGTTTCTTTGAAAAAAATGGAACTCATGTGGTTAAATCTGCTTGGGTTGGTGGCTCCGTAACTATCAAAGTTGCTTCATCTGGTATAAATTCACAAAACAATGAACTCATCATAGCTGGAATTCAAGCTCGTATTTTCAATTCTCAGATACAATTCAAATTTTATAATGAAATTGAAGAATCTAAAAATTTTGAACAGGCAATAAACACAGCTAGATTGGAAATGCGTGGTGGAGATCCCAAATATCATGTTACGACACTTCAAAATTTAAATAGTGAAAAATGGTTCAATTCTATCAAAGTGAAACCAGTTGTTTTAAATACCAAATTTGAACTTATTCCAATTAACATTGTTGCTGGAAAACACAATAGTAACATCCAAGATCAGATGGCTGTTGCCATTAAGGATTTTGTTGGAGGCGATTTGATTTGTATCAAATCAGATGCAATTTCAGAAAAACAAGAATCACATCTCATCGCAAGTCGTATAGACGCAACTAATAGTTCAGCACCAAATCTAGACAAGGGAACATGTCTTCGATCAGGTACTTTGATATCAATGGCTAATGGTACAAAGGTCTCTGTCGAAAAACTCAATCCAGGAGACATGGTTGTGGGTAAGAATGGAGTACCATGCCATGTTCTTGGAAGAAATGACGTACTGTTAGGAAATAGATCTTTATACGGCTTTTGTCCAGATAAAACTTTCTTTACATCTGAGCACCTTTTTGCTACACAAAATGATGAATGGATGTGTATTGATCCAGATCTTTCTTGCCTGATGAATCCTCTGAATAGTACAAAAAAAATTCATAGAATGCAAAATCAAAATAATATTCTTCGATGGAATGGAAAAACCACTGATTTAGAACCATTTAAAGTATTTAAATCTACAGAGAAATTTTCACCTACTATGAAAGTTCACTGCTTACTAGTAACAGGTGGTGTTTATGTAGCAAATGGATATGTTACTCATGATAGTATGCCAGACTTGTTAGCATGGCCGGCTGTATCAATTTGTTTGGCTTCGTTGACATTTTCCGAGAGTGTACGTCAACTCCAAGAATGTTTTCCTACAATAGATTCTCTCGATGATGCGGAGTGCATCCGGGAACTCTCTTATCAAATTTCTACAGAATGGAAAAAAATAATCGAAATACCAAATTCTTGTATAAATTTCGATGATGTTGAAAAAGCCATTAAACTATCAACCGAAAAATTCAAACATTTAATCTATGGCGATCAGAATTTTCTTCAAGAAATTCTTAGTAAGCCTGTATTTACTTTCCTGTCACAAAATCTCTTTATTCTTTGTGGTGAAGCTTTACATGAATCACTTAATGAGCTCTTTCAAAATGATGATGATGAATTTTATTGTAAAGCAACCTTGCTCTTTAGAATTGCGGATTATCTTATAACACTTCATGTGAAAAAATTTTTTAAATAAGAAATTGATTCGTAGTTTTGTTGAATTTATCCTTTCTATTGTTAAATTAAAATAATCATAGCAATCATCGATTTTTTTTTATACTTTTTTCATAATTTGATTAATCTGATTAATCTGTAAAGGAATATAAATTTATAATAAAATCGCGAATTACTATTACAGTACTTTCATATAATGTCAGAATATCAAAAATTTCTGGATTATGTGAAATTCATATAAATATAGTTGCGAAAGAGAGAAATGCTGATAACTTGCGACATACTAATTGTAACAAAATTGATTTGGACCCATAGATAATTAGGGCAGTTTTTTTACGGCATTGCTAAATCGTACTAGTGGTGTTAACACCACAGTTGTTATATCTCATCAAAATAACCAAGACTGCGTGTACTAAGTAAAAATGTCCAGCATCCTAAAAAATCCTACCCTAACTTTCTAATGTTTAGTCAATAACTTCCAATTTTATTCTAATTTTAAACTCTAATCTTAAATATTATTGAAGAAAATTTATGTGCGTTCCATCGACTATATAATTAAACAACAAAACTTCTGTTATAAAAGAAAATATTGGCCTGAAAGTATTGCGGCCTTAGCATGGAACAAATTCAGAAATTCTTGTACCCACAGAATTAAGAGTATCTAATGGACGGTAGGAATCCATCAAATAAAAGAAATTACGAATTTATAGTTAACTGTAATAAGAATCACTATTATACCTTTTATACCAGGAACGGGTGAAAAATCTCAAATTATTGGATTATGTATTAAAATATCAGATTCAGCAATAAACTTTATAAAAGATCGTATCAAAAACGTAATTTGGTTGATGATTTAATAGAATCAAACATATGTGGTGTCAGTAGGAACCAGACAAATTGTTTTTAGGGTTCTACCAAAAAAATCCCGACATCCAAAATCTCGAAAGCCATAATCTTGACATCACGCGATGAGACAATTAAAAGTTAAAGCCTGACAATGATTGTTAAATGTGATTAAATATTAATTGTTACGGTTTTCGAGATTTAGATGTCGGGATTTTATGGTAGAACCTGTTTTTAGTAAGTTTTCGAAATTTTAAATTAAAATATCACAACAATTATTGAACCAAACTTGATAACTATATAGCATTAAAATAAAAAATTATAAAGTTTTGTTTAATAGTTGTTGAAATATTGTAATTTAAAATTGAAAAAAATTTATTTAGAAACAATTTTCCTGGTTGTATAATAATGGATTTTTAAAATTATATCAGTGTTTATATTAAATTATTAGTGAAATCTTGAAAATTTAATGCTTAATAGTAATTTCTTTTAACAATAACATTCTTCATTCTTTAGTGCATTTTTAAGAAAGTTATATTTCTAGGTTTTGCATATTATAATAAAAAATCCAATTAAAAAATATATTTAGAATTAGTATATTATTGAGCTTTGAACAGGTCCCTGAACCAAAACCATGGCTTCTTTCTATTTTTATCTTGTTTAATTTATATCTATTATCCACTTTTATCTTATTTCATATACGTGAGACTTATAGAATAAAGGATGGCTTATTATTCAATAAGAACTTACTAAGCAGATTAAAGCATATACGTTGTAGGCTATGTGATAATTGGATGAGTGTATACACAATAACATATAGAATGTATATGCTTAGATAGTAAAGCATATACATGATGATAATGAAATGTAAATGTTGTAGGACCTTGGAAATAAAGAGTAATAAAATTATTCTATATAGAAATCAAAATGTATAAATATAGGTCCTTTTAGCTTTTTCAAATAAGAGTTCTCGATTAGTTATCAATTAATTGTTTAATAAACTTCTATTACCTAAGTCATACTACTTTATATTTAACATTTTTAATCTTTCAAATATTATTTTACTTGAAACTGCTATTGACTTTAGTATAAATAGATTATTGAATTCCATTATTTATATTTTCCAATGTTTTTATAAATTATAACTTATTAACTATTGAAACCAAACTCTACATTACAGTTGCTCTTCTAATTTACAATAGTAACATTTGGTACCAATTGTGTGAATATTTGAACAAATTTTATACAAAATTAATTAGCTTTCATGTTTAAAAAATAGCTAAGGCAAGATAAGTATAAAATGGTTTAACAACTTCTGATACAAAACTAACAACCTTTTTAAAATCTACAGAATCTCAACCTGATGTATATTTTGACAAACCAAATTACTAATTTAGTTTTGCAAATGCATTTAGCACAATCTCTACAAGTAAACATTCTTTTTTTTTTTTTTTGAATATTAACGGTGAGGCCATCAAGTAAACATTCTTATTATCTACAGAGAATTCAATTTAGTATTGTATTTTGAATATATAGAAGAAGAATAAGATCTTATTTCTTGGCTAAAAGATGTTGAAAAAACTTTGAGTCTAAATTTTATTACTGATATTCAAAAAATTTTCATAATCATTTCTAAATTAAAAGGATTAGCTTTCATTTACTAAATAACTATAAGAAACTAAGTCTTGTTGATTGACTGATAAAATGATAATGCCAATTTAGACCTAAGTTTTAAGACCAATTTTATAACCAAATTTTGCATTTCTGAGCTAGAAAGAAAGTGGTTTGCCCAACTTACTCAATGAAAACAATTATCAGAAGACAGTATTAATTCTTATCATATAGTTATTGAGGAAATAATATGAAAAGTTGAAGTTAGAGGTTACCAATATTCAGACTCTGCAAAAGCTTAAATGTTTATAAATGGCTTATGCTTTGAGTTATTTATGACAGTCTTTTCATTTATCTCAAATATCTTATAAGCTGCATATAAAAGGGCTAAAGCATTTAAAAATATATACAAACAAAATTCCATCTATTCAGCTTCTTTAGAACAAACTTTTATATATTTTTTTCAAATAGCTTAATACCTAAATATGCCAATTCTAGTATAAATTTAAATAGAACTAAAACAGTAATTAATAAATTAATTAAGATTGTGAATAAAATGATTTAAAAACAGAATTGATGATATTCTCAAAGATTATATTAGCCTAACTTTAGAAATCTTATACAGTTAAACCTCTCTATAATCACATTCTTGGTTTAAAGAATTTGATGTTTATAGAGAGTTTGTGCTTATATAGAGGTTAAATTTTATAAGTGTTATATAAGTTGGTTTTAAAAATTTATGTGATTATAAGCAAATGTGACTATAGAGGAGGTGACTATAGAGAGGTCTGACTGTAATTATATTTATTAATTCAAAATCTTTAAAAAATTTGTTTATTTTTACAAATAAATTATTTAAAACAAATATATACAAAAAAATTATAAACAAAAATAGAACCAATTAAATTTTTATATAATTGTATATATAGATTAGTGTAATATAAATAAGTGTTATTGAAATTTTAAATTAGTAACACTATTGATTTTTTCTTCTAATATCTTTTTAGTGATAATACCAGATAAAGGCCTGCATTGGATCTTGCAGCCCAGCCCAGCCTGGCTCAGCCTGCAAATTTTTGTAGGCTGGGACAGGCCTAAAGCAAAATTTTATAATTGCGGGTTAGGCCAGGCTAAAAAATTTGCAAAACTTTATAATTGTGGGCCTGTGCAGATCTAAAATTTTGTAAAATTATATAAGAAATTTTTGTGGGCTAGGCTGGGCTGAAGAAAAACTTTAATATCTGTGGGCTGAGCTAGGTCAGAAAAAAATGATAATTCTAAATGCAAGCTAAGCTAAGCCTAAAAAAAAATTTTAACACTAACTGTGGGCCAGGCTGGGTCTCAAAAATAGGCAATTTGCAGGCCCTTAATACCAGATCACTCATATATTTTATATATACTAAATTTTTTTTACTGATATATAATAAGTATCAATAGTGTTATTGGAACTTTAAATTAGTGACATTATTAATTTTACTTTTAGTGGTCTTCTATTGACAACACCAAACATTCATTTACTATATGTATAGTAAGTTTTCTTTTTATCAATATGTAATGAGACAAAAATAACCTGATTATAAACACAGGTTATCAAAAAGTTACAATATACCAATTCTGAGACATTATAGTAAAAGATTTATCATTTGTCCAGAGCAAAGCAGAGGTCACTAAATTATTTAGCATGTGATACAAAAGTTATATTTTTACTGTATTTGGCTCAAAAAGGGTGCCTTCTTGATCCACATCAGAAACACAAATTGGAAATTTTTTTTGTTATATTTGTGCTTTAATGTAACACTAACATCATGCATTGTAATCATAATATAGTGAGTTAGTCACTCAATGGTTAGATATATTGCATAACCTCTTAGAGAGTTAATATCAGTTAAAAAAGGTGTGTTAGATTTGGTGAGTAGTTAACAAGGTTTCAGTCAGATCTACTGAATTATAGGAGGTGTTACAGGTTAGTTATTAAGTATGTGTACTGATGTATTTTATATAATTTATCAGTTAAGAACAGATTATATTATCTTTTCTCTACTAAAGTACAATTGTCAATCATGCTTTTTTTATTATATTTCTTTTTACAAAGATCCTAAATATGACCTATGTAAGCAGATAATATTCGGGATCTCTGTTAAAAAAAAAGTTTTTTTCATTCTACTAAAACATGATTCTCTGTTATGCTTTTTTTTGTAAACAAAAAAAATTTAACAGAGATTCTGGTGTTCTTGTTAAGCTGCATATACATATATACATATATATATATATATATAAACAATATAGAATCTATAAATTAGATTCTGTATTGGTATACATATCATAGATCAAACTCTGCAATATATAACAAATATGCATAATGTAGTGAATATGTAACAGATCTATGATTATATACTTTTTTTTTAAAAAAAAAAATATTAACAATGAGGCCATGCCTTTAATTTTATTGAAATTCAATTGAAGTTTTTATAAAGAAAAGCTTGCTTTTAAATTATATATAAAAAATAAAGACACAGACATATAATCTGCAACCTAAATCTACAAGGCTCATCTAGATTTGGGTTTGAG